GCCCAAGCAAATCTGAAGAATCCCTTCTATACATTTCCTGATGTCTACAATGAAAGATTTGTTTAGATCACATTATAAAACAAATGCCCTTAATCCTCATTTGGCAGCAGATAGCTCAGGTGTGGGCCAACATGCTCCTACTGTGCATATCCCAAAGAGTTCAAGTGTGGCTCCCATGCCAAGATGACTTCTATGGCATCTATGACTGAGAGCCAGGCTGTGCTGAGACAGGGTACACTGGATCACCCACTTTGGGGAAATAACTAATAATCAAAAGTACTGGAGATTAAAAATTGCATTATTCTACGATGTTGTTGAAGGTGTACCCTAATTGCAGCTCAGGATGCTGAGAGTCTTGAGGAACAATTCTCATCTCACACTGTGGTCATCTGCTGCAGTTCCCCATTCCCTTAGTTCTTCAGCAAACTGCACCTAACAGCTCTCAGCCACAAAGATTTTCACAGGTGGTTCCCATAGCCTGAAAAAGCTAACCATCCTCAAGCTGGGCTATTTATACTTTAACAAACAGCAACAGTGGAGATGCAAAACTTTTGGGTACCCTGGTTTTCAAATCCAAGAGAGGTCAGGGATGTGCTTGCACACACACCTGGCTCCTTCCCTCCATGCTCTGATGGCTGACTGCAGATACAAGAAACTCTTCTCCTCAGCACAGGATTTCTCCACTTTGCAATATTATTAAAGAGTGCCAAATAAGTTGCAATAATGGGAAGCATGACTACTTTGAAAATCAGCTCCATTAATTTTATGCCTGCATACAATCATCCAGAAAATAGCATGTATCTAAGATGCATGTTGTCAGCATAAAAGTGGAAAATTATAAATGTAATCAAATTTGACAATACTGCAGGGAGATGTCGGCTGCTCATGGTGGCTCTCTGGAGACTGCATTTCAATACAGCAAACTCCAGAAAAACTACAATGCCTCAGTGGTCACTGAGCAGTCACTTGCCACAAGCAAGAGGTTGTGGCACAAACCAGAAGTTGCCATTCTCAGCAGCACAGTCTAAACAATGTATTGCCACTGGGATAGAAACACTCTTAAGAAAGCTCTGGCTTTGCCATGACCTATTTCAGGTTTAGCTTGTTTCACGGAGAATTATATGGACATTTGAGTCAGGCTTATTCAATCTGATCCCTGACTTCTTACTCACGGGTCTTAGAGGCTGCTACATTTGGAGCAAGCAGACTAAGCCCCAGTTCCTCAAGGGAAGACCTGGCACTTCACACCGCATTCACCTTTTCACACCTATGGAGCAGCCTTATCTGAAGCCAGCTCCAGGTGCCACACACCAACCTAGAGCACAGGAATCAGTATAAGCTGTGAAATTTGCAAAAGCAACAAATGCTAGAGGCACACTGAAACATGCTGAAGGTCTCTGGAGATCGTGGGAGGCTTAAGAGGCAAGGCCATGGGAGGAGAAAGCTTAAAGCCCTTTGGTAATTCAGAGGTGAATGAAAGAGCAATGCACAACATAAAGCAGCTTGCGACTAAGCTGAGGAGTTTTACTCCTCTCTGCTCCAATGCAGCTGCTGTATTTTGCAGCTGTCTCTATTAAAAAGCTGAAAAGGTGTCTTTTTCCTAACTCAACATAGAGACTAAGACAATAGCCCAACCTTTTTAGGCGTAGCAGCCACAAGCTGCCACAAAAAAAGGCTTAGGGATTTTTGACTCCTGACATGGAAACATAATTTCTTGGTTAATAAACAAGAAAACAAGAAGGAATATATGTAAAAATTCCTTCATCATCATTTTAGCCTCTTAAACAGAAAGAGTCAGTCACAGTTTTGAGTATGGGTTAATGCGTGGGCCGGCATTATGTACCATCAGATGATTTAGCTGGGACCATGACCAGAGGAGGGGAACTCCAGGAGACCCATCAGAGCTGGGTAAAATGGTAGCAGGGACTCAGAGCTGACGCATGCAAGTGCTTGCACTTTGGAAGAAAATCTGAACTGCTCCCCACTGCCCAATTAGCTGATGTGTTGCAGTCACGGTTATCACATTGATCATAAACATTGCTCTGCTAACTTGTGCTTCTCCTGTCTGCTGGGTCGCCTGGTTGTCTCCTTGGCTTCATCTGAGATTGAAAGCTCCCTTGAGAGGGAAGCTGTCTTTTTAGCTACTGCAATCCAAATAAATAAAATAAATGAATACATTCTTGGATACTAAAAAAGGCAACAGTGAAAAACTCTTGTTACAGTTATTTTAGCAGAAAGAAATTGCTCAACCCACAGTGGCTGAAACAGCTGAAAACATTTTAAATATTACAATAGCAACTTTAAATACTTGTCAGAATGTCATGTTCACAAAATCCCATCTCAGCAGTGTACAGCTAAAACAGGAGACAGGATGAGAAATAAGGGAGGAAGCATTCTTCCTTTGCTTGTAAAATCTGTGAAATCCATAAGGCCTGCAGAATAAGAAAAGGAGCTCAATACATTCCTCCTGATTATTCCCTCTCACAACACAAGAAGAAAACAACTGGACAGCACTAAGATTAACTAATGGACTTGCTGCCTGTGATACAACTTCCAGAACACCCCATATAACCTATCTGAACACAACATACACCTGAACCCAAATACCAAGATGGTATTTGGAGATTGCATTGCACTCTGCTCTCTTAGCACCCTCTGAAGCACTGTCATGTGATTAATTGCTCTCTGCCACAAAAGCCACTCCTCACTTGTGGAAGCAACTGTATTTGCCAAGTGTTCAGAATGGATGTCATATAGCACCACTGCTCAGATGGGCAGGGCTCCTGGTTAGCAGAAGGATTAGTCATATTTCCAGAAATCAGGAAGAAAAAAAGCAAAAAATCCTCTCGGAAATGTCCAGATCTCCTTCTGAAAATTACCTGAAGTTACATTCAGCTTGTGACCCATCAGATCTGGGGTCTCAGAGAGAGCTTTGAGCCTACAAAAAGTAACAGGAAAGCAAATCTATTGGCAGGAGGCTTACATTCACTCTGCAAAGACAAATCCTCCTTTGAAAATTTCACGGTCTCAAAAATTAAAGGAAAATATTGAAAAGCAGCAATTTAAGTAATGCAAAGATTCAGGGGCCTCAATGTGCAAATAGAACAGAAAATCCTGAGAAAAGGAGTATTTCTCTGGCTTATTTCTTCCACTTAGTATCTATTTGCATTTCCACTATGTCCTTTCCAAAAAAACCCACAGCTGCTCCCTAAGATTTCACACTCCCCTGTGAAGTACAACATGACTTAATCCTGAATTTTCCAAGGGGCAAACTAAGGTTTAGAGTCCAGGAACTCTACCTACTAGCTCTTACCCTGACCTTTCCTCCCAGACCTTGGAAAAAAATCTGGAAGGTTCTGACTTCCCAACATCTCTGAGTTTCCAAGCCCCACAGTGGCCTCTATTTCACTGCAGAAAAGATTCAGAAGTGTTCCAGAACACACTGAAACACTCTCACAAAGCAGTGTGTTTCCCCAGCTGACCAAGCGCTGGATGTTTCCAATTGTACTGATGATGAATTACACTTCCATCACCTGGGAAAACTCAAAACTGATGCTGCTATTACCTTTCTGCAAAGCCCAGGTGATACTACAAGCTCAGTATTAGGACTTGATTTGCCTTTTTGTTACATTATTTATGCAGGGCAGATTGGTTGGCAATTATGTTTAAAGTACAATCACAGTGCCATTTGTACTTGCTAGGTAAAGAGGCAAAAGTTTTTAAAGCTTTAATATGTTGAAAAGTACCAGGGTAAGTGGAAATGACTGTTCTCTCTTATTAGCTGCATGGTTATTTATACTTTTGCAGATTACCGTGGTGCAGCGCAATTAGGCTTTTTAAGTACTGTTCAAAATGAGAAGTTTCAAGAGCTCTACTGAGCAATTAACCCTTAAATACATTTACAAGAACAAACCTGCTCCAAATAGGGGCTTTTAAATTAGCTGGGAAGAAAGAAGTACAAGACACCATCTGCTAAAAAGCTTCTGTGCAGCCACACCTGAGCAGTGGCTACAATGCATTGACAGTTCCACCAACTACACTTTGAGCAGGTTTCACAATAGCTCTAATACACCAGCTAAATGTGAAATAAGGCACTTGGTCTCACCAGTCCCTAGATATTTTTTGTTTGTTTGTTTGTTTGTTTGGGGTTTAGGTTTGTTTGTGGGGGTTTTTTTGTCTTGTGGGTAAAAATCACATGGTAACAATTCTGTTCAAGGCATACCCTTTTCACACCACAGGCAGGATGAAACAATTTGGTGATTTCAAATGTCAAGGAACTCACCTATTTATAGGGGTGAGTTTGGGGGCTGAGGGGATTTTAGTTTCTTCTTTATTTAAATGAAGACACATACTTACAAACACACACTCTGTCCAGTAGCATGCTTCCCCAGGTTAGGACAGTCCATTGCTCACACCAGGGGAACATGGGAGGTACAAGACATCATCCAAGTACCTCCACAGCAGACAGCAGAAACGTCACCAGCATCTCACTGTGATATCTCTAGTCCTTTAGCAGCTACTGTGCTTATAGCCCAAGGCAAAACAGATTCACTACCAAATGACCATCTCAGGTCACAGGGATGAGGAACAGCTAAGATTATCTCATGCACTGTGCTGTGCACCTCCTCAGACACTGTTCTAGCAAGCATGTACCATCTGTAGAGCTTGTTCTCATTGTCAGTCTCACAGCGGAGACTCTCAGGAATGAAGAGATTTGTGTAAGGACATTCAGTAGTGAGAATGAAACCAAGTTGTTCTATGTGCCAGGGAAATGCCATTACATCATGAAACCCTCTTGTTCTTCATTAAAGAAATGTGTTCTTAACCATATATCTCTCTTCTAAAAAGTAACTGCAGTTATCTCAGATTCTATCCCAACTCCTCCTCCGATGAACTCAGATACACCCCCCATGCCCACCCCTCCACCTAGCCCCCAGTTTTACAAGAGACACAGTGCAACCCTTCCATGCCAGTTACTATGATTCCTACGATCCACATACCTCCACAGTGAACTCTCCGTAACACTCCCCAGGTTGAAGTCGTAGAGCTTTGTCAGAATGAGAATCACCTACAGAGGGGAATGGGAGGGAGGGGGAGAAAGGGAAAAGAGAAAAAAAAGTTTTCCTTTAGATTTTGTAAGAGTACACAAGGCATCTGAAATCACCCAAAGGAGAGCTTAGCATTTATCCATTAAAGTTTTGGTATTATAGGATAAAGTCAAGTTTAAAAAATAAAAAGGAAAATCATTAGTTTAATGCATCATGTAACCACTAGCATTTATTTTAATCTCAAAATGTTTTGCATTTGAAATAAAACATGCCAATAGGAATTACTCAGACTTTGTGAGATGACCTCTCTGCAACTACAGTTATTCAAAGTCAGGGATGGAATCAGATGCGCTCTTGTGAATTCAACAGTCCAACCCAAAAGTAGAGTCAACCTGTCTTGTCTCAAAATGCTACCACTAATTCTCTTCCTGCTCCCACAGCAGTGGGACCAACCACCCCTTTCACTTGGGTTTCCCAGCTGAGAGGCTGCTGGGTGAGGAGTTTAAAGCTTTGCAGAAAAATGCTAAAGGATTAATCAATATCCCAGCTGCTGCAGCAGTCAGGTACTGTCAGCATAATACCAGGAAAAATCCTGTTCAAATTGTGAGGGACCTTGGCACATGACTATGCAGTCAGCACCCAACTTAATGGCTTTAGAATAGATGTTCCAAGCATTCCTCTCTCTACTGGATTCATTTTCACCATCCCGAATTGCATTTTTTCCCTTTATTTCCCCACGCAGAGACCTTTAGGAGGAGGATAAAAGTCCAGCTGCTTCCAGCAGGGTGTGAAAAGAAACCTGCCAGGGAGTTTTGAGTCAGCATATGCAAGTCCATGTCAGCCTAAACCATGGGGAAATAAGGCTAATATTCATTTTATTGCAACTTAAACCCTGCACACACCTTCCCATAAAAAGGGGGAAGAGACAGGTGCAAGCTGCAGCAACCAAGTGTGGGAAGCAGGGCAGCCTTCTCCCAGCTAACACCTGATGGGAGTGACATTTTTAGGATGTTCCCTATATTCCCACGGCACTCAAACAGGACTCCTCTCAAGAGTCTCTAGAAAGACATGCACCACAGCACAGGCCCTGCACTCCCTTCTTATTGCTCACAGCTGTGGTAAGGTTTCATAAAGTTAGTTTTCCAATTTCAGAGACTCACACTGATGACAACTGAGTTCAGTAGATCCTGGATCTGTCCCTAAACATAGTAAATAAAATCTCTGTGTCCTGGTCAAATTTCAACAGAGTAATTCTACCTTAAATTGCAACTACAACTAAAGGCAGCATCCATATTCTCCCAGCCCTTTGTGTGTCATATGCCCCAGATGTCATATGCCCTATATTTTTGAGGATGTCACTTATCTATTATAAACCTTGCAAATCAGCTTTACAGAAGTGGGTTGAATCCTACTCAGCTCCTGGGTATATATTCATAGTAAAAGCATGTTTAGTATGACTTTTCTGGATTTTTGCCCAGGATGACAGACTAACATCCATCTCTGCTTGTTGTTAATGCATGGGAAGCAAATGTGTGAGCATCCCTTTGCAATATCTCACAGAGGGTTTCAGGAAATAGCAGGAGTTGCCTGAGGCAGTAGTAACACAGAATACAGCCACCTACAGCAACCTGTCCATAAAATCACTCACTAAGCAGACTCAGGCCAGGCAACATTCTTGCACCACAACCCCAGGTGGCTCCCACTCTGTCCCCACTTGCTTTGGAGACAAGGCACTTCAGATTCAATAAATGCAACTATTGCACTGGTTTGGGAGTTTGAAAACCAGAGAGGATCTGAGAGTCTGAACACACAACCATCACAAGGCAAGCTGAGAAGGCACTTTTCCCCCAGACACTGCCTCGTGAGACCTTGGAGCAAACATAACTGCCAAGGAACCATCACAGGGGCTTAAGATACAACTCAAAGCCTGAAAGGAACTGCTGGTTCCCCAGCTGTTTTCATGGGGTGCATTTCACATGGCAGTTGCAGAAAAAACTTCAAACCCTTTCAAGAGGTCTCCATATCAGGCCGCCCCAACCTGTCTAACAAACTAAAACCAGGGACATCAGGGACAGATGTGGGCAAGTATGAGATTTTCTAAGACATTCCATTGTTTGAATGGTTTAGTAGAAAAATAAAGGAACAAAGCATATGAAAAATTAGACATATTTTCAAAAACTGAATTCTGACAGGAGAAAAAAGGAAAAAGGAAAAAAACCCTCATTGATTCAAGCTGACACATTTGATTCCAATTTCTGTTTTGTAGTTGAAGAAGCTCAGCTTGTTTTTGTCAACACTAACAAATAACCCTGTTTTTTTCGTTCCAGAGTATTATTGCATTAAAATCTTGGCGGTTTTCATTTTAAAAGCTGAATTCAATTGAAAATTGAAGATTTTGCATTCTATGTGCTATTTCAAAACAAAAACATTTTCTTCCCCTGAACTGGGAGAAATCTAGAATTGCCATCCTACAGAAAATGCCCACTCTGCAACCTAAATGAAGAGGAAACCGTTTTGCTCTGGGGAAAAGAAACACAAGTGAATGAAGTTCCAAATAACTCAGAAGTAATAAAATCTTACACTTAGGCATTATTTAGTCAAAATAAAGAAAACACCCTTATGGTGCCAAATTAAACTGCTTCCGTTCATCAAACCAATCTTCCCAAAATTAATTCCAAGTCAGCTCCATGCTGAACTGCATTTTTCTCTGGGATCATACTGCTCACTTTGGGAAATACAGCTCAGATATGGAATTTCCCCACATCCTATGGCCAGGCTCCACATACCATACTGTGCTTCCCAGGACACCCCAGAGGCAGGTGTCCCTTAGGACACCAAGCAGCTCAGCCACTTGAGAATGAAAAAAATGGGAAAGACAGTCTGCAGAACAGAGTGTGGAAATAGGGAGGCTGAATTACAGCTCCCTTAAGGCAATACAATCCCTCTGGAAAATGCAATTTCAAGCTAAGCTTACACAAAACTAAATGACCTGAATAATTTAACAAACTGTTTTGGTTTTGTAGACAGAAGTGGGGATGGAGAAAGGATAATGAGAAAAAATATATTTTCTTTGGAACCAAATGATGTTCCAGTCTTACAAGAATTTCCTTATGCACTTTATTTTACACACGTGCCTCTCCACAGTGTATATGGGGTTTTTTTTCAGAAACTACACTGAACACCTACTGAACACCCTACTGTAAGGCTTGCACAACAAAAATGCCAAACCCTGTCAATTGCTTACCTTCAGTGGTCTATACTTCAATACAGATTAAGAGCCTCTGGCACTGAGAAATCCTGGCATAACGCCATATAGCAAAATGAACCACTAAATCCAGATTTAATGTGATGGACCTCTTCTTCAAAATAAGGCCAGCAAGTATCCAAGACTGTCCCGTTCAGCAGTCTTGAGTCTTGACACAACTTGGCTGGCATGAAAGCAGAAAAAATATAACCAGAAACAGTTGCCCACATTGCATTCTGTCTCGAGGAATCTCCGAGCCCATAAATCACAAAAGTACTCAGAAGCTCTTCAGAGTATTTGGTGGTGTAACAATCTTCCATGCCTATAAAATTTTACTATGAACGAAAATTACTTTAGTTCATTAAACTCATCTCCAGATCGTGCCAATTCTTAACTGGCAAAGTGCTTTGCTTATACCCCACAGTGGAATATATAATGCCTGTTTCCCACAAATCAGAGTGCAGAGGCACTGCAGTTCCTTCAACAGGTTGACACTGAACTTCAGAACAACCAAAAAGTGCCACACCAAAGGCAGTCATGCTCCTGTATCAAGGGACAGTCAGAGAAGGAGAGAGAAGAGCACAGCAGCCAAAGAAAGTAGGTGATCATTTCAGACAGACATCTGAAAGGCCAGCTCCAATTCACTTCATGAGATTCATCTCTTCTCTAAGTGATCCTGCTGTATTAGCACAGAGATTAACACAGCTCATCAGTAGCCCTGTGCACACGTTTACCAAGTGTAATTAATAATGAGTAAAGGGACAAGCACTGGTCAGCACACAGCACAACACAAAGAGGGCAGACAGATTTACATGGGAAAAACAAGAGCTCTCCACTCACTTGCTCTGGCTTGGTGGAATCTTCATTTCCTTCTCACAGGCATATTTCCATGATGCTCGCAACCTTTTCTGTCCTCCACACTAGCCACAGGAAGCTTGTTTGCAATTTCCATCTGCCACTTCCCAATCCACATGAGAGCAACAGCACCCAACAAGTAAGTTTCAAACGTGAGCAACCACAGGATACCGGGAACCAGTGTCAGTAAATTGCTCACAGCCAAAGGCAAATCGGCTTAAAATGCTCCAGGACTTAAAAGCCAGCACTGCCCTATGAAGGTCCCTAGTGTTTCTTTCTTTTGGATTTTTTTTGTTTGGGTTTTTTTTTGGTGGTGGTGGTGGGTGGTTTTTAAGGCACGAAGTTATTAATGAAAGGTGAACTGTTTGACAAGAACATGGAAGTATTCATGATGATGAATCTGCTAAGTCACTCTTTCATATAATCTCTACATTCAAAGCTAATTCTGTCAAAACCACCAATACCAGCCTAATTTTCCCCACATAAACACTCAAAAGACGGGGAAAGGGCCATTTACATGCTCAACATACATTTGTGCTTAAGTGTGTCGTGGGTTGACCCCAGCCAGCAACTAAGTACAGACCTAGACTCTTGGTTTCTCCCGACCCCAGGGGGCTGGGGGAGAGAACTAGAAAAGCATAAGTGAGAAAAACTTGTAATTCTAGACAAAGACAGTTTCATTAGTCAAGGAAAGAGAAGAAAATATAAATAAACAAACTAATGATGCCAAGGCAGTGCCCCCCACACCCCCAGTAGATCAATGCAAAGCCAGTCTTGGAACACTTGGAACACAGTTATTGCTGCTGAGGATGATATTGTATGGGACACAACACCTCTCTGGCCTACTCCTAAGGCAGGCAGAGTGACAAAGAGAAAACCTGACACTGTGAAAATCTGTTCAACTATACCTAAAACACCGAT